TCTCTGCCTTCCCATCTCTAGGGCCATAAGCTTATGCTGCCATGTTCAATTTTTATATAGATGCTAAGGATCTGAACTCAGGTCCTCATGCTTGACCAGCAAGTATTTTACCCACTGTGCCATCTCCCAGCCCCACGGTCCCTATTTTACCCTAGAAGAAAAGGGATGCTTTCCTTGCTGGGTGTTTCATAGCTATAAAATCATTCTATGATGCATTTAAAGCAAAAGAGAGGACAAAGACAAAAGAAGGTTCTGATATCTGGGTGTGAAAACTTGGAAAGGTCTGGAGAGAAAGGCACAGGGCTCCACCCAAAGGACTCTGAAAGGGGATGGCTAAGCATCTGACTTTGGGGTTCTGGGCCAGCCCTTTGTGTTCCTGGAGGCTCAAGGTTTGAGGTTCCCAGAATTTCTGCAGCCCAGCTTCAAGGGCTGAGGCTCATCCTTAGGTCCAGCAAGGAAAGCAGCTTGGAGGACAGATCAGAGAAGGACAGTGTCCTTGGTGCCCCAGATGGGCCTGGGTACATCCCCAGAGGTCAGAGTTGGATACAGAGTCTTCTAGTAAGCAGTCTCGGGGGAGGGGGAAACAAGATGACATTACAGGCATTAGCCATATAAGCCTGGTGACCTGAGTTCAATTCCTAGAACCTACTTAAAGGTGGAAGGAAAGAAATGACTCCACAAAGCTGTCCTCTCACCTCCATATGCATGGCCCACCCCCGACATCACACACACACACACACACACACACACACCCCACACACCACACAATAATTTAAAGAATAATAATAATAATAAAAGACCTGCCATTCCAAATGGCTGGCAAGATATCAGGCCAAAGGCTCCTTGTCCTACCTGACATTCCACCATCATGAGTGAGGATACCAGGTGACTTTCCAGAGCCACCTGATTGTAAGGGATGTATCCAGGCTAGGTGAGCTAGTTCCTAACCCTGGGCTGTCCTTGGGCCTGGGAAAGAATGGACCTGTATCCTAGGGCTAGGACTTCCAGAGAGTCTCCAATGGTGTGGGGGGGTTCTCCCTCTGCAGGCTGAGGCTTTTTAATCCTCTGGAAGACCAGCCCCACCACACACACACACACACACACACACACACACACACACACACTCAAACTCCCAACCCTCTGACAGCTTCTATGTTTGGAACTGAGAGAACTGTAAGTAGCAGCTCGGCACTGCCTGTGCAGCTGAGTCCCTGGCATCTGGAATGAAAGGGATTATTTCCAGCAAGGCCTAGGGCAGCTGTATGAACATATGCCTGGTGTGTATGTGTGTGTTTGAGTGTGCACGTGTGAGACAGTATGAGTGTGTGGCTTCTCCCACCATCAAAATCTGTCTTACTGTATCTCAGGATGTTTTCCACCCTGGGTTTCCTGTTTCCAACCCTTTCTCCATGATAGTCCTGCTCACCTGTCTGTTTTCCACTTGCTAGGTCTGGTTTGGTTTCTCTATCTGGACACTCCAGAGAGCAGAGGGGTCGTGCCTCCCTGACTTTGCCCCCCATCCCTTTTCTATCTTACCCAGGTAGGCCTTGGGGGCTGGGGAGATTACTCAGTGGGTAAAGTGCTTGCTGCTGTAGCATAAGGACCTGAGTTTACATCTCTAGCACTCACATAGGAAAGTTGGGTGCTGTGTTGCAGATCTGTAATCCCAGTGCTGGGGGAGGTGGAGACAGGAAGATCCCTGGAACTCTCTAACTAGCCGAATTGGTGAGCTCTAGGCTCAGTGAGCGACTCTGTTTCAAAAATAAGTGAGAGGTGAGAGGTGAGAGGTGAGAGGGACACTTGACCTCAACCTCTGGGCTCCACACACAGATGCATCCACATGTGTACAGCCATCATGCACACATGAAGAAAAAGCCAATTTTGCTCTAGAAAATGATGCTTCTGTCCTGTTCTTTATGTGGGTTCCTGCCCAGATTGTGTAAGGAGGTATCCCAGGATAGACAAAGCAGGCCCTCAGCTTTGGTTCCTGTCCTTCAGGCCTGGTCTCCTAATAAGTCAGTTCACCCTGACATTCATTTCACAGGAAGATGAGGCTTTTACAAGAAGGCCTCTCCTCCCAAAGTTTTCTGTCACTATTTTCATATTCCCAACCCTCAGGGCCTAATCTGTGCTGACCTCCAGACCTGGCCTCCCTGTCTCCTTTACTTGGACCATATACTCTTCCTTCATTTTTATCTTAGACTGACTCAGTCCTGTGACTGTCCCATGAACTTCTTGAGGGGCTGCTGCCATTGTTTTCTGACAATGCCACTTGGGTACTAAGGACCGTAGCTCACCATGGAATTAGAGCAATGGGATGAGGATGCTTATGTAGTTCTTGGGGATTCTGACACGTGGCAGCCCTAACTGCTCCCAGGATGAAGGCATGAAGGCATCCTTGTAGAGATGCTTCACAGAGGGCTGCTGCTGCGTAAGGGCCATCCACCTGGGACTTGGCTGCAGAAGCAGTAGGCTTCACACCCAGCCCTCTCATGGCCTGCCAGTATTTACACACTTGCTCATCTAGCATTCACTCACCATTTAGTAAACACCCAAGTGGCTGCATGGGCTTAGTCTGGGATACAGCCTGTTTAGGCCAAGCTTTGGATCCCTAGAAAACACCTGACCTGGCTGCCACTTCAGCCTGAGCTGGACATGCCTCAGCAGCCAGACTGTGGGCCACAGAGCAGGACTCAGGTCTGGGAGGGACTGGGAACCAGGCCCTCTTCTTCCTTTGCTTTAGGGGAAGCAGGCCTAGGAATTTAAGGGCACTTTAGATAGATTTCAGGCTTCTTAGCTGAGGTGTCACAGAGCCTCTGGGTCAGATATGGAGAAGCCTTGAGAAGCAAGTGCCTGCAGAGCAAGAAAGGAATTTCCTTCCCCACCTCTTCCTTAAAACCCAGAAGCCCAGACTCTCAGCTTGATGGTTTTCTTTCCTACAAGGTAAAGGAGAAAAAGATGAGGGAAATTTTTGGGAAGGTGACTCAGAACTCCTAGGGTGAGCCCTACTATTTCTCATAGATGCCCAGAGCCTCTTCTTGTCTCTAGCACTAGAAGGGGAAGGCATGGCGGCGGGGGGGGGGGGGGG